CTTCAGGTCTGGTTTAGATCATTGTTACTTATAAATTATATATTTTCTGGTATAAATCTGCTGTTTTACATGATTGTTGAATCAAATTAACATAATTATTAATTTATTGTAAAAAACATGATCGATAATCTGTGAAACAGATCCGGTTCAGCTGCTGTTTATTAGTTTTTATGGAGGCTGTGAGCTGTTGCACTTTTAGACGCCATTTTTCTCCTCCATGCTGTCATAGACACTACCAGTGGACGGTATGGACGGGGCTCAGTCTAGTGATATTTAAGTCTATGGGGCAGACGTAATCAGATTTATTCTTCTTCTGCTACCTTTTATTTTATTTTATTGTGATTTGTGTATTTTCATTGTTTATTTTTGTTATTGTATGTAGTTATTTTTTAATGAAATGAAAAAAAACTCAGTGTTGCAGATATCGAGCTAAAGTTTGATTTAGTCGCAGCTAAAACGAATTTCCAACCTGTGCGTGGAGGCCGATGCGCATACCTTCCTCTGCTTTTTCGTCTTCCGACAGGTTTTTTACGACGATCCTCGTTACATCCTCTTCATCCACATGGTGATCAACGATGGCGTTCAGCTGACCGTGACCATCACTCTTTTCATCCTCAGCTACATTTTCTACAAGCTCAACGTCTCTTTCTGCTGCTTCTTCATCCTGGTGGCGGTCTTCACCACCAGAAACACTCCGGTCAACTTAGCCAGCATGGCCATGGAGCGCTACGTGGCCATCTGCGTGCCCCTGCGGTACGCTCAGATCTGCACGGTGAGGAGGACCTACGTGGTGATCGGGTTGATCTGGTTCATTTGTGTGGCTCCTGATATCACAGACCTGTTTGTGACTCTGGCGACGGAGCCTTTGAGCTTCTTTCACGAGTCTGTGTTCTGCTTGCGTCAGAATGTCTTCAAAGACGTGATCCTGGCTGAAAAAAGGAAAGCCTTTGACATCATCTATTTCTCCTGCGTGTTTCTGGTTCTGGTCTTCACCTACCTGAGGATCCTGTTTGCGGCCAGGGCCCTCTCCACCGAGAGGACGTCGGCCAAGAAAGCCAGGAACACCATCCTCCTTCACGGCGCCCAGCTGGCCATGTGCATGCTCTCCTACATCTCCCCGAGCGTCGAGGTCGTGCTGCACATCATCTTCCCGGGTCGCATCCTGGAGATCAGATTTGCGAACTACCTGATCGTTTACATCCTGCCTCGGTTCCTGAGCCCGATCATTTACGGCGTCCGAGACCAGAAGTTCAGGAAACATCTCAGGTTGTACCTTCTGTGCTGCAGGTGCAACCGCACCTCGCAGAAAACACTTCCCACTGGACAAGCTTGAAAAATCCTGTAAGAAATTAAACTTTTTAAGGCAAATAAAAAATGGAATGACCAAAAAAATAGAAAAGTGTAATGTATAAGAAAAAATAAATTATTGCATTTTTTTTCTTCATATGGTTTAAATGTATTGAAGATAATCACTGCAAAGAAATCAAAGTTATCCTGAACCACGTTGAATGTTTGGAAGAGGTTATCTCATATATTGATATGCTATTCTGAAACAAGGGTCCACATTCAATGTAAACAAACCTAGCTGGAACAACAGAGTGGCTTTTATCTGTTTAGGTAAAAGTGATGAAAAATAAAAATTGAACCACTTTTTACTTTTTTTTTTCTTTGCAAATTAATTTTAACCGTTGTTTGAGTGTATAAATATTACAATAGGTGTGTAACTCCTCCTGTACTTGTTTGGGTAAAATATATTTTTATAACCCATGGAGTTTATTTATTGTCATTTTTTCTCGTTTACATTTTAAATTTAGGCGCAGGAGCTGCATGCTTCACTGCAAAACACTGTGGCCATGTTGGTGTGGTTGACCCGGACGTCTCACAAAGATTTTTTAAAAATCTTTATAACTTTTCTACGGAAGCCAAGAGCGGCCATTTTCCACTTTAATTATAAGCGGACAATGGCCGCTCTCGACTTCCGTACTTTTCTTATTTTTCACTTTTTTCACATTATTTTACTTATGAAACTGAAAAAAGAAAACTGAATTAAAAAATAATAAAGCTGTAATTAATTAAAGCTCATTTCCGTTTATTTATTTTTCATTTTTTAATTGTAAAATGTTTTACAGGATTTTGTGTAAAGG